GTTTGCCTGATCGCTTTTATTAAGGCTTTACCGATAGAGCATTTCGGATTCGCGAAACCATGACCCCACTTCTATCCCTGAGCTCACGTGATTACCGTACCTTAGCAGAGGGTGGAGTAAGTCAATATGTGCCTTCCTGCATATCTCAGTGCCTCACATCTCTACGCTCAGGGAAGGTGGTATATTTCCTCATCAGGTTTATTTTTCTTTCGCTTGCGTATATGAGCGTGTGCAGCGGTTGTCAGTCAGAGAGAATCACGTGCCTGGTTGTGATTCCTATCATGCGCTCGTGAGTCATAAATCCAGAGTACTATTCCCTGCTTAAGCAGTCTGTTTAAGGCTGCATTCGAATGAAAAATTACGCCTAAAGTGTGGGAATGAAAAAGCGCACTGGGTGGGGTATCGGCCTGCAGGGTGCATTTATTCCGATGGTGTGTGGTTACTCTTAAGACGCCCAGAGACTACTTCATCGGGTAATCTTACTCAACTTAAAAAACCCCGCAGTGAACAAGTTCGTTGCGTTGAGAGGCAAGTTCGCATCCACAACATCCTACGTTGAGACTTCTATCGTCACGCCGCAATGAACTTTCCATTCGGCTTAAAGTTGTTTTTGCTTGCCATTCCTAGTCATCAGATGTATATCGCCCTACTGCGGTGGCAAACTCATCTTCGTGACGCAGAATCTGCTTTGGATAGGGTCTGGGCATAAGTATCCCTCGTATTACCTGTGGCCTTGCGCTAAATCCCGGGGGTGTAGAAGATAGCTGGGCCACGGGGACTGCGTATATAACCATGAGTTGCCTTCAAACGCCCTGTACCATTCACCAAGCATATTTAACTGATTTTCCGATTGCGGTGAACATAAACTAAGTAAATTGAAAAATTGCCTTCATTCATTTCAATGCCAAAAATGCGGCTTTTAGTCTTGCACCAGTTCGTGCGTTGTGATCTGTTGAACCTAAGCTAAAATCTTACCGGAAAAAAAGGTTATGATTCAATTTATTTGTACTTTTCCACTGGCGGTCAGGGGGAACTTCGATAAACAGACAACTTCATTGTCGGCGGTCTCAGGTTGTCTAAATGGGTCATTAAAACCCAACAGCATCAGCGGTAAGCCGTGCGGTTCCCCAGGACTTAGTTCCGAGACTTGACTTGTTGCTGGTGCATGTCGACGACCACATAAGGGATCTGAAGTGAGAAAAAACTGTTTTGGATGAAGATTAAGGCACTAAAGTTCTCCCTCCCCACAAGTGACGTAATACTGCCACTAGTAGAAGCCTCCAAAAATAACCTCGAGAATTAATTTGAATGTAAGACGACCGGATCTTTCCCATGAGCTGACTTTAGGCGACCGTTGACGATCCATATTGTCTTTTACACATAGATCAAGGCTGCGGTGTTAGGGATAGACCGTTCAAAACTTTTTCAGCTGGGGTGAAGGTGTGGTTATTGTGGAAAAAACAGTGTCTACGTGGAATGAAGTGTCTTACAAGTTACTTATCGAACTTTGCATTAATGCGCGTACGAGCGCGTCCGTAGCAGAGTATCCAATGGACATCCCAAAGACACTGTGAATCCACCCTATTAAAGGAGGATGTGATGGAAGACGGAGAATACCTAGACACAGCTAAGACTAGTTTACTAGCCTAAGTCGACCTTACTGCCAGTCGCGAACTACTGGACTAGACCGGGTCTTTCATCCTGGCAGCGCAGCGCCTGTAAGGTGAGGGAAGGAGTTCAGCCTTTCTTTTTGCAGAGTTTTAACTGGATTCCTACCTCTCGACCATCTCTCTTGTCGTCCGATTCCCGGATCATCCGATTATCACTACAACAGTAAAACAAAAGGGTATTTTTTCCGGATTCTGATTGGCCACAAGACATCCTGTATTCTCACAATTTGGTCCTAAATTTTCACTCCGTGTGATCGTTCTTGATACAGGCGAAGTCGATACACCGACTGTTATAGGTAACAGGTGCGTACTTACCGGGGCTTAGTCGGCCCTTTGTGAGCGTGATTGGGCTGCATCAACTTGAGAAAGGCCTTTGCTGTCTTGATGCAATGGGCATAACAGGTACGTTCGTTGAGAACTTTGCATCCAAAAATCACAGTTTACAAAGCTCCATTAATTGGCCGGCCCTATACTTTTGACGTAATCGCACACTTTTAATCCGACCAGACGGCATTCGTTGGTAGGACCTGTAATTCCGTCACCTGTGTGCGTGTGTGCTTGCTGCACTTAGGCATTCGTCGTTCGTGCCGATCGATGCATAACACGTTCACAGCAAGAGCATGTTTACTTTGGTAAGCAGTAGGTACACAGAAAAGGTGCCAGGACGTGTTTCTTCTAACTCTGAATACACCCTAAAATTGCTGATAATGCCAAAAATCCAGTTCAGGCGGACTTCGTGTCGTTTGAAGAACAAATTCGGCCAAGACGCGGGAATAGGAACCCTCCTGCATATTACGCTAATTTCCGGGTGGACTAGGGTTAGAGTTAGGCTGAATGTTAAGTTTTTGGGTTGGCGTTGGGGCAGTGACATGGGAATATTTACCCATCCTGGAATTTTGTGCAAAACTACCTGTATTACCGGGGAGGTGGGATTACGAATTCCTTTGTCGTACCGGAATTCGGTGTACTGCATAATCGGACAGGTTTGGGCTGTTTTCACCCTGAGGCATTTACTTCGGAAGAGGCGACAATTACAATCGAATTGTATTGGGTTTTTCGGCCCAAACTCCACCGCTGCAGCGAATACCTATATTTTTCGAATACAACGAATCCAGGAAACTTGTCCAACAAAAATCACCTCCGTGGGTGGAGAACAAAGTTGAACGTCAGTGCAGATGTATAGAACGTTGCGAAGCTATCGATACCTCCAGATACGCACGAGATATAGGTAAGGATATTGCTCACAGAGAAAATGCTTGTCTGTCATGGTCGGTCAGTCATAACCACGCTGGACGAGGGCTCGCCTAGTCAACGAGTCAACGTCCGACCATTGGATGCCCCGTATCAGGCCATGTCGACTGTGATTGGGATTATTCAAACCCGTCTAATATATCTACCTAGGGCTATTTCTTAAACCGTGAGCCAGTTCATCGGGCGTTTTAATTACAAACGTGAATTCGTAAACACAAGGCTTATTCGTCGTGGTTGGTTAGTCATATCGTGACCGCACGTTGGGAAGACCGGAGATTCAGATGACTGCTCCGAGGGAAGTGCTGAGCCACTATGTGATCGACGGCCGCAAAGACAACGGCCTCCTTTCCCCGCAAACCTACGCAGATCACCGCCTCCTCCTGACCAGCATCCTGCACCTTCGAACACGAAATAAGGCGGCTTGGATTCACTCTGATCGCGGCGTTGCCGGCTGCACGAAGGTGTGGTCACCAAGACGTGCTGATGACGAAGCTCATCTACGACGTCGACGAATGTACCGATCACCGCCTCGTCGTCTCCAAGATGAAGCTCCGACTGCAGCCCTGCAGGAGGTCACAAGAAAAGCGACCACCAGATAAGTACAACACTGCTCTGTTGAACTTGTCTGCACATCAATTCACGCAACAACTGGAAGCTCTATAACCTCCAGATGAAAACGCCTTTCTGTAGACTCAGTAATGTCAATTACGGAATGCTTTCCACTGCAGTAGTTTGGACGGCCTCAGACCTGCAGGCAGTCAACACCAGGAATGGCTCATCGACAACGATGCCGACACCAGCATTCTGCTAGCTGAAAATCATAGGCACCACAAAGTCTACATGAACCATCGGAGCGACGCGAACAAGAAGGCCTTCTTCCGCTATCGTCGCATCGTGTAGCATTGACTGAGGGAGATGCAGGACAATCGGATGACTCGCACGGCCGAGGAAGTCTAGGGGCGTGCGGAGTGCAATGAACCAAAGAACTTCGCAGCAGTCAGGGCTATCTATGGTCCCATGTCCAAAGCAGCCACCAGGCTTCTTAGCACCGATGGAACAACCTTTCTAACCGCGAATTTTCATATTCCGCAGCGCTGGGCCGTGCGTTCCAAAAATGCTATCAATCGCGATCAACCATCTCCGCCGCCGTCGACCGGCTCCCCAAGTAGAAATCCACATCGACCAGAATCTCCAGTCCACCTTTCGGGAAACCATCTGCGTCGTGAAACAACTCTCCAACGATATCTATGCGATCCGAGCCGAAATCTGCAAGCACGGTGGCCACCGACTGATAGATCACTAAAAGTGCTCTTCCAGGAGATGCGGCGCCAAGAACAGATCCCTCAGGATTTCGAGGACGCGTCAGTCGTCTATCTCTACAATTGGTAGGAGAGCCGGCAACTCTGTGATAAACGCGGAGGCGTCTCGTTGCTCAACATCGCCGGAAGCTAATAGTCTGCATACCCCTCAATCGTTTCAACAGACACCTAAGCCAAGGACTACTCCCAGAAGGCCAGTATGGCTTCTGGCGACACCGCAGAACCACTAACGTGGTCTCTACCTCTTGCCATTTACAAGAGAAGTGCCAGGAGATGCAAACCCACTTTTACACCACCTGCGTGGATTTAAAGAAAGTCTTCGGCACGGTGAATCGCGATGGCCTGTGGAAAATCATGCAGAAATTTGGTTGTCTTGAACTATTCACGCGCATGGTACGTCAGCTTTACGGCGGGATGATGGCGCGGGTCACGGACAACGAGGCAACGTGGACCTCCTCGCCTCCGACTGCGCCAATTTCGGACTGACCATCAGCACGGACAAAACAGTGTCCCATATCAACCGCCCCTCAGTGCTCCTCGCATCCACGTTAACGGCATCGAACTGGAGATCGTGAAAAACTTCACCTACTTAAGGAGCACACTCTCATGCTGCATCAAAATCGACAACGGAGTGGCTCATTGGATCTCCAATGTCAGCTGAGCCTTCGGCCGACTGCAGAACTCCGCATGGAATAGTCCCGGTCTCCACCTCAACACCAAAATAAAGATGCACGAAGCGATTATCTTGACGACGTTGATGTGCAGTGAGCAGCCCAGGGCAATCTACGAGAAATAAGCGCGCAAACTCAATCACTTCCACCTCAGTAGTCTCCGGCGGATACTAAGGCCAAATTGGCAGGACAGGAGCTGCGCACAGAAGTTCTGGAACGGACTGAAATCCTTAGCACCAAGGCCATACTGAGCCAACTGCATCTGCGGTGGAGCGGTCACCTTATTAGGATGGACGACGAGCACCTACCAAAACAACTCCTCTATGAAGATGTCGCTACAGGTGCTCGTCGACAGGGAGGACAAAAAGGACGCTACAAGAACAGCTTGAAGAACTCTCTGAAGTGACTTTAGATCAACCCGGAGATCTGGGAGGACCTCACCCGGAACAGACTGGCCTGAAGAAGAGCAGTAAAGACTGGCTCAGCAATCTACGGACAGACCAGATTGTTTCTGTCAAAACCGACAGAGCGGCGACAGGTCACATGCGTTTCGGACCCACAACGCTAACGGCCAACCGCTTCCGAAGGTGACGGTCTCAGCGCATATTCGACAATAAAAACAATCTGACGCGCTTGAATCTATTACTATACACTAAAGGCCGTGGTTTGGAAGGTTAACAACTGACGGGATAACTTGGACCGCGCAGTCAGCCCGGTGTGTTTGTGTGGAGTGGAGGACTAAGAGCTATGCTACAATGGCTGCTGGTTTATGTGGTCTCCATGGCACTCCCAATCGATGGGGTCCGTGCCGGTGTGATGGCATGCTTACGTGCGGATCTTTGCCGTGCCAGCCACATGCGCCCTCTCCTGCTTTCGGTCTTCTTGACTTTACCCTGACCCCGGACACAGACGGAGGAGGGGGGAGTGCGGCGGATGCTGCGCAAGTCTACTATCATCATGAACTAATTCACGCGCAAGTAACCGTCCCTGCTCCCCCCTGTTGTTGAGCACACAGTTGGCATAGTCAGAAATCACAGCCGAATTGTCATACGGAGTCAAAATCCTGGCGTTAGACCCCTGAATCAGGCCAGTTCATCGGATGTTTTAATTAAGAACGCGAATTCCACTTAAATCGCCTTTTACGGGTTTTCCATCACCGTTGTCTATAATGCCCTCATTTGGAAAAATAGATAAAGTCGTTCATCTTACATCACAATTCTAAATGATTTGAGGCGCTCATTGAAATACAAGATGAATAAAAGTGTGCCGTTCACTTGGAGAGAGTCTTATCTGAATGTGGTCAAGTCCTTCAAGGTAGTACTTCAGCGCTTATTTATATGTAGTCTGGAAATTCATTTATAAGCATCGCTTGTTCTATCGCTGACGCAACCTCTGATGTGGACTTTTAAACGACCTCGAAAGCCCAGGGCCAATAAAAGGGTGGCACGGATGATCGGCTCCATTCACTCTTCCTTATACCAACAAGCACCTAGGACTCAAAAATCCAACTCTGTGCGCTATAAAAAAAAAGTTGTAATTTCAACGAAAAGAACTAGGGTTCGAATCTCCCATGTTCCCCGCAGGCTCATTTCTGACTTTCGTCCAAACAAAAGCAACTCACATAAAAACAGATCCTAACAAGGCTTTTTGAGTAAGTGTGCACTCCTAACTAAAGCAAAAACTATAAACAGCGATTAATCCGTAGGAACCTCTTGGGCATGCAGTGCCTTAAAAAGGCACGCCTTCCAATAGTCGAGGTGAAAAGAACGGCAAGGGCTGAATGCATATTTTGGCAACGATGGTACGGCAGGGCACAGCGATATGGACCTCCCCATATTACAGGTGAACTTGTGCTATACACTAGGGGAGGGGAGTTAGGGCAAGTGTTATGAGGGCTATGAGTATCAGGACTAGTATTCAAGTCAAGATACGGGAACAGGTGCCCTCCTTGAAAATTAACGTAAGGACACCTGTAGTGCGGTGGGGGGGGGGGGTTCATACCCCCATGAGCGACCCACTGTATGTGCAAGCAGTGAATCCTTTGTTCCGTTCCTACTCTTTCCAACGTAAAACTGAGATCCAAAATTCTCCGACAGCCCTTTGCTGTGCCACGAAGAATGAAACTACAGCGTTGTTGAGATTCTAACTCGGCTTGCCCAGCGACCTCCAGACGGTAGGCCTTGAGTCCGTAGGAGAAGAAGGATGATGCCTAGTAATCGGAATTGCCGTCTCCATGTGAGTCGTTTCACTTCTCGAACAGCACATCGCGGACTCGCTCAGGTTTTCAGATTGGGCCACCATGTTTGCCAGCGCCATTTCTATGTATCAGGAATGTAGAGTCACTGATAGCAGAGGGTTCGATCAGGTCCAGGCTATGCGATCTTTTGCGACTTCGGAACGATACGCTCGTGGCCGGACTGGATGCAGTAAAATTTCACCCCGGGAGCATTATTTATGTCGAAAAGTCTGACCACGAACCAGCCATTTGTAATTAAATATGGTGAAAACTTGCAGGATTTTGAGTCTCAGCAAGTCGTGGCGCGATATGTAGGGTTAAAAACTGCAAACCGGACAACTAGCAGTCTTGGCATGACAGCCGTAAAGGAGGCTCCTATAAATTGCTTGATCTATCCCTTTAGACTCTGGTAGCACCTTGGGCTGGTTTTTTTGTCTTTGTTCTGAATTTAGGCAAGCGGTCCTCAATGTTTCTGCCAACACTCTTACATCTGTAAGCGACAAACCCATTAGTTGGGCACAGTGAGTAGGCTATCCCGGAAACGAAGATAGCAGTATCCCAACAATTACAAACTAGTAAATAAGAACAAAGTCGTCGGCAGGTAAAAATGTACGTGCTTGCTCTATGTCTCATTCAAAGTTGTGCCAAGTTCTTTAAAAAGCGTATTATAACTGATTAAAACAAAACGGACTTAAATGTCACTACAATACTCCCCCGCCTAGGATAATGGATTTCAAAAAAATTATTTGACGCGAAGACTTCTTTACACTGTAAATGTTCCACTCGTACCCTTTCATCACCTAATCCACGCATTTCAACCATCCCTTCGTCTACTCCCTATCATCGTTTACTTTCGGAATTCCCATCTATCACACGACCCTCACAATTTAACCAACCTATCAAGCATTCTGTTGTACATTATATTTCAACTACTGGACCACCCGTGTTTAGCCGTCCCCGTCGTTTAGCCGCCGCTAAGTTAGCCATAACCAAAGCTGAATTCAGTCACATGATGGAGATAGGCATAGTCAGGTCTTCCACTAGTCCATGGGTTGCACCTCTACATATGGTGTGCAAAAAGTCTCTCATTGACTGGCGCCCATGCGGGAATTGCCGACGGCTAAACATCTGCACTGTGCCTGACAGATATCCCCTTTCCCATCTCCACGACTTTTCGCCTAGCCTGTCCGGAGCAACAATATTTTCCAAGATTGACTTAGTCAAAGCTTTCCATCAGATACACGTTGCTCCAGAAGACGTTCCCAAAACGGACTTGAATGTCACTACACGTCTCTCTCAACAGTGCTTAAAAAGACGGATTCCGCTCCGGTGCATCCAAGGGCGGTGGGTGGTGCAACGGTTTTCGACGAAGG